TTTCTAGCGCGTCGATTTTAAATTATTTTCAAAATTCTTTTTCTTGAATTTGATTAACTTTTTAACGTTAGTTTTCTAATTGTTATCTCAATAAAGACCAACTAAATCTAAAAGTGACTCACTGTGTCTGTTACTGACTGGCCAACATATCAGAAACCGGTTTTTGAATTACTAATAGTATTGTTTGCGATATGGTGCCTTGTGACCATGGTGAGCTTCCTAACTTTCGGGATAATCAATTATAATTTAAAAATATAAATTTTCTAACACATTAGTTTTTCATCTTCTCTATTTCGAGATTTCCAAAAATTTCTTTTCTTTTTTCTTTATTTCATTCCTATCTGGGTTTAATTCTGGCATTTCTATTCTCGATACGGGGGAGCTCACCATGACAAGTTAATATTTGTTACATTTTATATATGTGAGTTTATGTTGTCTCTGAAGAAGACTCAAAAATGAGTCGAAACCTGTAAGCGTGTTTAGTAAAATAAAGAAGTTTTACGCTTTATAATCGTATTATTTGCGCAACGTCTTCCGCGCTTGATTCCTATTGCCCATATTCTTTCTTAGTTCTTTTGATTTATAAGGAGTCTTAGTTAGATTTGTTACTCAAAATATATATAAATAAAATGTTAAATAGCAAAGAGCACACTCAAAGATACATATAAAAATTAAAATGGAGAGTTCACTTCCGATGACTTTGACCCTACCACGCATTACGAAGGTCATCACACCGAACAACCTTCGGAAGGTTGTAGCAGTCACCATCACGCGTTACGAAGCTATCTTAAAAAATTAAAATGACCCTGACTCATATTGTCAAGGTCACGACTCTGTGTGACCATCGGACACTTTCAGCAGGTGAGGGTGAGAGAGGACGAAAGAGGCTGAGAGAAGACGAAAGAGAATGAGACAGGAAAATAGAGGGTTGGTTGCAGGTGGGGGTGGTGGGGGGAGGAGCGGTGGTGGGAGGGGGTGGAGTTGGTCGAAGTTGGGGAGGTGTGAGTGAAAGGTGAGAGAGGTGCATGTGGCTGCGGATAGAGAAGAAGAAGAAGAAGAAGAAGAAGAAGAAGAAGAAGAAGAAGAAGACGTTACTTCATTTTTCATGAATATCATTACTTTTCGACAGCCTGTATGTCCAGAACGGCTTCACCGACTTTTATTTTTTTTTTGGCGCAAATTACTCGTGGCGATGCCGCCTTTCAGGGTGTGTTATGTGCTATTTAAAATTTTTTATATTTTAGTAGTTCTGTACCCCCTAAAAATGGACTTTCGTGGCTCGGGATAAGAGACTTGTAGTGTCTTTCATTTTCATTTTCATTAATCCTAAAGTAGTTAGGATAGTTGAACATGGCCGGAGACACTATCGCGTCTCCTGATAACGAAGTGTATAGAACTCACGACGTCGAACTTTCTGGAAGCTCAGCATGACACTTCCAGCACAGTCCACATTGCCAAAGCTACTGATCCTTTTGAGAAAACAGACTAATTAGATCGAGGGTTTATCTGATCAGTTCGAGCGATACATTCGCTGCCAGCGTCGGTCGACGTTCTGTACTTGGAATCGAGGAATTACGCTGGACAACCAGAATCGGTATTTTTTCTTGCTCATCATCAAGGACAACGAGTCCGCGATGCGATATTGTCTTTTTTCTCACTGCGCAAACGCGACACAACACTGCCATCACGACATCACAACGACGACTGCATTACACAATCGATAAGCGTATCTTGTGTCGTCAGGTTAGATTGTAAGTATAAGCGCGATGGAAGTATTAGACCTTTTGAAACATCAACGAGCGACACTCAAGGGTCGTGTGTGTGTAACTAGATTTTAAACGCTTCTAGAGAACTACGCGGATAACGTCGAAAATAGTTTAGCATTACAATCGTGATTAAAAAACACAATGCACTGTGGCGCGAATATGACACGTTACAAACAAAAATTGACGTGGTCCTCTCCGAGCCAGAAATTCAGGAACTTGCGCAATCTAGAAGAGAGAGGTCGAGTACCTCCGCCAACAGTCAGGTTAATAATGCGACTCCGTAACGAGGATATAGATCAGACGCTAGCGCGACTGCCCGTAATTGCTCTGCCAACCTTCAGTGGAAATTACAAACAGTAGGAACAGTTCTTCAACATATTTAACTTTAGTTCACAATAATTCTAAGTTAGCCGCAGTCCAAAAATTCCATTATTTAAGATCCGCAATGTCAGATGCTGCCGTTAAAACGATTGATTCAATACGAACCACAGATGAAAACTACCCTATTGTCTAAGAATTGTTGGTTCAACGGTTTCAGAATACGCGTTTAATTATTAATCATCACGTTTGTGAATTATTTAACCTATTTCCAATAACGAAAGAATCGGCAGAGTCATTACGTAAATTACTAGACAACCTTAAAAAACACTTACCAATGTTGCAACAATCAAAGGAACTTACTGATAAATGGGATACACTTATTATTTATTTAGTTACTAGCATGTTAGATCCTGCGACAAAAGGGAAATAGAATTTAAAGGTAATTCAGGAAAAGGCTTTTACTATTAATCAGTTATTTGAATTTCTTAAAGATGCGAATATTTCAACGCACGTTATCCGATACACATGAAGACTACTTTTACAAAAGTTTTCGCCCAGAAATCTAATCATGTAAGTACAAACTAAGAATACGTGCTTCTCGAATAAAACTTAAGCGTCCAACCTAATTAATAGTAGTTTTAATTTTTCTTCGAGGATATTCTTATTGAAGGTCTTCTTATTCTAATCCAAGTAATGGCAGCTTCAATTTTCTGTTAAAAATTATTACTCCTAAAAAAAACTAATGTATCAAATGAAAAATTAAAATACAGATACTACAGTCTCAACCTTTAAACTGTAACGTCGGTCTCACAAACCGCTATTAAAACTTTACTTGTCAATAATTTCTTTGACATTTGTTAGACGCGCTTTAAACTCATAGTACCTTCGTATATTATCTGTTCCCACCAAGCATTGCAGTGGTTCCGTTGTCTTTCGTTGCGAACAAAAACTATAACATGGGATAGTTGTAAAATTATAGTGGCCCCACAGACCGGAAATACCATTTACGTTACTTTTCCGCAATATTGATCATATATGTATTTCTTCATCTACGTCTTATTTACAAGTTTTAATTCTTATTTACTGGTGTGCTTATAATTTGTGGTTACATTTTATTATTATATTTTGAGGTTAAGATGTTTTTTAACCCCAAACTTCTTTTATTAACAGCATGAAAATTCGACAATTGCCCCCAAAAAATTATAAAGAACTTGATGTGGTAAAAGATACGTTAATATCAGTAAATAAGCCACAGACAAGCACCCATAATGTACGAACTGATATCCTCGAAAAAAGACAAATGTGCACGTTATGTGATTATAAATTAAAGCGTAAAACATCATATAAATGCACGAAGTGTGAGATTGTTTACAGTGCTCGCCAAAGGTGTGCATACATTGTTTGACTAGTATGCCAAATATCTTTAAAAGTTCAGAGAGTCTTTTTTAAATATTTTGCATAAGAAAGATTTGTAAGAAAAATTATTTTCTTCTTTATTCAAATTTAAATTTAAGTTCTATGTTTACTATCGTTGAAATATATTTTATTTCTTTCATATATGAAATCTTTTTGCTAATTTTCATATTAAAATATTTTTCTCCCACTTCCCTATCTACAAGTATTCATAATAGTTGAAGACATACATTTTATTATTATAAGGAACTTATAAAATTAGTACGATAAGCACGGAAGCACAATAGCGGTCTGTCAGACCGGCGCGAGTGTTACTAATAATGTAATTTTTTCGAGCGTTACAGTGTAAAGGTTAACTCGTAACTACCTGACTTTTCGCGCGGGATAGCTCGTCGGAATTATTACGATCGGTCGGAAAACGAAAAGAAGTTCATAGCGAAGAGAGAAAAGATAGCAATAAGAACAAAATATGTGTGTGTATGAAATAGGAATGAAGTATTTATTGTATATTGAAATCTGTTACAATGCGAGCTTGTCGAAAGCGCGTTGGCTTGTGCATGCGTATACGTGAGTGTATGGCTTTCCTTTTAGGAGACACGGGGTCTTAAAGTTTGCAACGACCACGACTATGACCACAGTATTTTCCGTTCTACTAGCTTGCAGGCTCTGCGGGTGAAATCTTAAGTGGAACGAGTTTTGTGTGTGAATAGTCTGTAACATGGATGCCATTGAGGTAATCGTACTGTGCTGTAAAAAATATAAATCTGAAGACTCATCGAGTTCTGATGACGAATGGGAAGTAGTATTTATCTCTTTCCGGATCATATAAAGAGATTTTTTCGATGTTGAAAACTTAATAATACCGGAAACAAAATAAAATGTCTGTGTAAAATGACGCACAACGATAGCAGATGACGAAACGACCAGGCCGACCCACCTACAAACCATGGGCGTCGTGAACTCGATCGTGATTAATGACGTCATTTATGATGTTTGATCGCGACCACAACAATCGCAGTCGTTATGTAGAACGGTTTGCGGGCGCTGCAAGCGTTGCGGGCGTTAAGTGGAACGCACCCTGAGTCGACACACTTGACACAAATCGACACATGTTGCTTTCCATTTACAATTTTATTCAAACTCAATCGACACACTTCGCCTCTGCTCGGGAGGAGAGTTAGAGTGTGTTTCGAGTCTGTTCAAGTGTGATTTTGATGAATTAAATGATATTAGAACGTATCCGCAAACCAATTTCCATCATTTTATTCTGTTTTCAATATCTGGAGACACGGTAGTGTCTCGACGCTAAGCCAAACGCAACGTACAAAATTAGTCGACGAATGTTAATAAAAAATTATAATGGCAAGTATTATGGCACTTTTAATATATAATTTATATTAAGAATAAATAAGAAAATAATTTTATATTAAGATTTTTTAACTTTTGATATATAATTTATTGAGGTTAACTTTTCTTATTAATTTGTATAGGATTTCGATTCTAATTTCATTTGTGCCAATTGTGACGGTATTTTTATTGATACATAGGTGTTTAGGAATCATAAGTGTGAACCGCTTAACAAGGTTGGAAAAGATGAACGTAAGTATACTCTCTGAATCTTCCCTTAATCTTAAATTTTTTAGAGTTGAATAACTTTGACTTTTTAAAAAGTGATTAGAAATCATTCTTATATATATAAAAAATTAATTGTAAATATTTATGTATGTAAATATCGTGTATATATATATATATATACATACATATACATACGTATATTTATCTTTGTTATGAATATATTTGCTTTTCTTTTAGAGGACATACTCGACATAAACATCATTCTATGGCTGCATTCAGCGAAGAAAGCAACTTAGTGAGCGCTTTGTGCTGCGCTGCCAACAGCTTATGATTTCTGCTGAACGGACTTTTCTTCTACTGTATCATATGTATAACTTATATATCATATTATAACTTATATAATAATATATAAATATATAATAAGTATATAAGTATATAAGTATATATTTGTCACGCTTTTCTCCGGCGTCGATTAGGTACGGAGCGCGCGCGGGAGCGCATTCCGGGGAACGGCGGATCAATCGGATCAGAGGGCCGACGACGGCCCTCCTGCGAGAGGGTACCTCACGCGGTCGAGCGAGAATCGAGAGCCGCGACAAAGTTGGGTGCCAGACGTGCTTCCAAGCAATGTCGATTTCGCGAACGGGAACGCAAACCACACGGAAACCGCGAAACTCCGGGAGCACCAAGAATCACCAAAAACCGAGAGCCGTTTCTCGCTCGCGTGAGGGCTGGCTAGCTCTACCTAACGGCAGAGGGGGGGAGTACGGGTAAGGCCCGGTTAACAGGAGTATGGACGGGATCTTCGAGGGCAGGGCGTTAACACAACTATCTCCACTAAGTAAATAATAAGCGTGTTTACTAGGCAGAAGCGAAGGACAGTACAATAACTGAAAGCATCGAGATAGCGGAAGAAAAAGATTATCGTTAGACAGAGAAGATTGACTCTAATGCAGCGGAACGATAGTTGCGCTATTGAACCGATCCGGCCATGCGGTCGGGCAGGCACGATAGCCGCGGAGAGAGCGATAGCGAGCGGCTAACTTAGTAAGCAAATTAAACAGGCCGACTCGATGTCGGGATCTCGCGAATCGTCATGCACGCTCATGCACGCCGCTGAGCCGAAGATTCCGTTGCGGGGCTCGGCGGAAAGTTTTAAGAGTAAGCCCTCTTCTCGGACGGCGTACCCGCACGTCGACGCGACGCTCTAGTTCATAACCTTGAGGACAGACACAGAGTAACGGTAACCAATCTAACATGCGCGTGCCCGTCCACGCACACACACCCACCGGTAATACGCGCGCGGAAAATGCCCGCGACCGCCGAGCTCGCGCTTGCGATATCTAACGCGATAGCTCTTCCGCCTCGCCAAGGTCGCGATCTCCAGGAGGCTCGTCCTCGTGGCTCGACTTTATCCCCGATAGCCTCATGCACGCGGGTCCGAGAGCCTCTCACACTTGGCGCCGGCCACGCCGTACCCGTAACACAAAGAAGGCGCCGCTTATAGCGGCCACCGCACCAACGCGAAATTCGCGTGCCGACAACAGAACGCGAGGATGATCCTCCGCCCCGTTGCATGCGACTTTACAGTACCCGGTATCCGCCCAAGGGGCAACCTCACCGATAGCCAGATCCTTCGACGATCCTTTCTCTCGGGGCCTCTCGCTCGTCCTTCTCCAAATTTTTCCGGGCCGGGTCGTGCATTCGGTCGAGTCGCTCGAAGCGGAAGAGGACGAGCAGGATCGCGATCGATGCGCCATCAATTCGCGAGCTCCCCCCTACGGGGTTGCGCAGCCGCGTCGCGCATTGACGCGACCAATTAGCGGGCTAGCGGTCCTTCGCGCGCAAAGACGTGCGTGGCGACTTGCTACGGGGCGCCTTGTGACCCCGAAAACCCTCGCGGGCGGGCCTCCCTTGCTGGTCGTCCCCGGTCGCC